CGTGTGCTACCTCCAGATGAGAAATATGTATGCGAAAAATGTACCCGCTAGGGGGCGCTGGAGACAAATTATTTATTTTTTCTTATAAATAATAAAAACTTATAAATTAATTTATAAGCTATTTAAAATATAGGGGGCCTGGTTTCAAAGACCATTTTGTTCCATGTTTTCAATTAATATTATTTTAGTATGTAGTTTTGTAACGCTATTTGTTATACTTCGTAGTAAACGTTGTGGATTTTTAAAACGTTGCTGATTATATCGATGGTATCTGTTTTGCTACAGTCTAATGCAATGTATTGGTGCGGCTACTTAAGATATTGGACATTGTTGCAGCAAATGTTGCACCGTTAATGTGGTGCGGATGTTAGAACACTCCTTCGGGTTGTTTCCGTTGTAATAGTGTGCGGTATTGAAGATAGTGGCATTTGTCCCCATTCTAGCTATTTTAATGAATTTTTCCCGAGTGAAGTTTTTACAATAGTTGGGACGTTTCGGGAGTTCGTTGTGCATTCGTAGAAATGATGTTGATTCCTTCCATTTTTTCTGGTGGTCTTCTTCTTGCCTGTTGTAGCAAAAGTTGGTTGTAATAGAACTTAGGCAGGGAACTTCTGTTAATGGCAGCGACAAAGCCTCAACGGCTTTGCTGTCAGCCATCTCGCTTCCTTTTATTCCGACATGATCTGGCAGCCACAATAGTTTTATTATAGGGCCTTGATCTTTAAGTACATGCTGATTTAAATTGCTGTTTCTGGTAGATGCAAGATGTTTAACAACGCTTAAGCTGTCGGAACATATTCAAGCTTAGAGATTTGTTGATGCTGCGTGTTTGATAGCTTGCTGCATGGCGCACAATTCTGCATTAAAAATACCTGCATGCAGCGGTAACAGCGCTTGAACTAAGGTTTTGAACGAGTTCGTTGCCGTTTGTTCAACTACAGCGTATGTAGTTATACCCCATTGCTGAGATCCATCTGTAAAGATAGTTAGTTGCGGACCGAAATCGTTTACTATTTGGAAAAATGATTGCTTGTAGATTGCTTCGGTTGTATTGCACTTTTTAAATTCCGACAGACTCAAGTCTATTTCTAAGTTTGTTCTTAATGCATTGCTGCTGCCTTTTGGTTTAACTGGTATTGGTTCTTTATTTTCTGCTAGGAGCATTATAATGTTCTCTACACAAGTGCTGATTCCTCTTTTAGTATTTGTGTTGCTAATTAAACTCCAAAATATTACGTGCAGACAGTGATTTTTAAAAGTTAGAGCTTTTGCGGCAAGGTTGACAGACCTACGTTGCGCTTATATCCTGAGAGCCTCAAGGGGTGTACCAGGGAGTACTGACGCTGTCCGGAAGCATCTGTTCAAGGCAGCGTTGATTTTGCTTTTGTTTTTTTTCGGATGTCCATCCGTATATAGTCAGCCCATGTTGAATTATGCCCTCCGTAATAGTTCTACAAAAGATCTTTAGTAGGAGGTTGTTGACTTTTTTGAGTTTATCGCAAATGGCATTAATGTGTTCTTTCCACGACGCATTTCTGGGGAATGTGGCTTCCAGCATGCCAATTTGGCTTTTAAAGCAATAATTTTATGACCGATATTAATTTCTGAGAGACAACACTTGTGTTTTCTGCAAATATGTAAAGCTTCTGCTTTGGTTAGTGGTATTACCGCTCCTGTATTTTTACCCCATTGCTGTATTTTATTATTGAGGTCATTTAGACTATTTATTTGCTCTGAAGATCCAGAGGAGACCGCAAAAATGTTGTCTGCGTATATCCCTATATAGTCAATACCGTTTGTGTGTTTTATCTGCTTGATTAGTGAGCAGGAATATGCTGTGAATAACACAACTGATAGGGGAGAGCCTTGTGGTAAACCGTTATCAAGATTTAGGTATTTTGACATAAATCCATCAACGCGAACTGATAACCTCCTGTGTGACATGAACGAGTAGACTATTTTTGGCTTGGCTTGGTAACCCCCAACTTGCCAGCTCTTTTATAGTTACTGTGGCTGAGACCTTTCGAAAGCCTTTTCTATCTCTTCTGAGAGTACGACACTATGGTTATTTCTTTTTATTTTACTTTTGAGCACTGTTTCCAAGGTATGACAAAGGGTGTGAACCACGTGCTGTGGTAAGAAGGCGAGTTGCACTGGAGGGAGAAAAGCATTACAATTCTCGCGTATTTTCCGGGCTAAGATTTTATCAAAAACTTTCGCTAATACCGAGATGAAATGGACGATACCCTTCCACTGTGTTTGGACTTTTGTAAGGCTTAGCGACTCGTGATGAAATTGTGCACTTCCAGTAGTGCGGATAGATCCCCGTTTGTAGGATTTTGCTATACAATCGGCATAGTCGTAGCTTTAGAGAGATGTGTGAGTGCCTTGTCATTGAATATGTTATTTTGTCTATTCCTGGAGTTGTACCTTTTGAACTTTTTGTTGCTTCAATAAGGTCTTTTAATGTTATTTCTCTTAAATGCTGGGTTAGGCTTGTGTTTTCTTTAGTAAGTGCCTCAATTTTAAATTTTGTTTTTCTTTTATTATTTGTTGGTCGAAAGATTGATCCGAACCAAGGGAGCTCCAAACTCTTGCAAATTCGTCGGCTATCATCTGCGGGTGTGTTATACAATTGTTTTCGTGAATATCGGTGGGAAATTTGTGTTCTGTTTGGATTTGATATTTCTTATTTTGCTCTATAAAGTTCTTGTGTCCATTGACGGGTTGAGCGAATTTACAAACTTTTCCCAAGTATTTTTCTTTGCTTGTTTGCATGACCGACGAACTTGTGCACACAATCTCTTGTAATTAATTAAGTTAACTTGACTGCGTTTTTGTTTGTATGTGTTCCACGCAGCGTTTTTCAGTTGGATCAGTTTAGTTATCTCAGGGTTAAACCAAGGGGGACTATTATGACAACTTATCTGTTTTTTGACTGGCATCGATTCGTTTGCTAACGCCCTAATAATTTTCTTTACATAGTAACGTTCAGGCAATCGCCGCGTAAGCATCGTTGTCTCCCGTCGCGATTACAACTCTTACCCACAGCTTCTTTGTTAGTTTCTTAGTTTTGTGCAAAGCTTAAGCTCTACACACGTACTTACATACTTTCGCGTAAGCGCACTCCAACAAAAGTTCAAACCGACAGTTAATTAGAACAAAACAAATAAATAAGCCGGTGTACCAGCTCAGCATTGAAAGTGCGCACTCGCGAAGGGATGAACGGGGTCGATCCCCCCAACACCAACAGGTTTAAGGACCTAAATCCTGACCAGTATCTCGACACGCCAATTTTCTGAAACAAGAGAATTAGAACAACCGACTCCCCCCTGCTCCCAGAGACCCGTCAAAACGATGACCACATTCCGGGTTTTCTGGTCATCACCGCCGTCGCCAACTCAGCAGAGCCAATCCGACCAATAGCTTCCTACAACGTCTTCCAAATCGAGAAAGGAATCAACGCCATATCACGAGATTACACAGATGTTACCCCGCTAAGATCCGGCGATCTCCTGCTCAAAGCCAATAATCTTAAAACTGCACAGATTTTCCTCGAAGCCACGCATGTAGACTGCATCCCAGTAAAAATCACAAATCATGCCGCTCTGAACTCTACTCAAGGAAGAATTTACTCGAGGAATATCAATGACATTTCTGAAGAAGAGTTAACAAAAGAATTGGCTTCCGAAAAGGTTATCACCATAAGAAAAATTATGAAAAAAATCGATGATAAACAGATAGCCACAGGCGCCGCAATACTAACTTCTGATCTTATACGACGTCCAGAATACTTAAAAATAGGCTGGGGAAGAGTCAAAGTTCAAGAATATATCCAGAATCCGATGCGGTGTAATAACTGCCAGAAACTAGGCCGTACTAAGAAGTGGTGCTGAAACTCAGAGCAATGCTAAACTTGCGGTATCCCTCCTCCTCACAGTTCTTTCACACGCAGCTACTGCGTGGACTGTACTATTGATACACACATCATCCGATCCCGCATGCCCTACAGCACAAAGCAGTTAACAAAGCCAAAGCCGTAAATCGATGCACAACAAGACAGGCATGGAAACTTTATAGCTCCAACCCAACAGCAACCCTATAATAAAAACCCAATGCTATCTTTAGCACAAGTTGTCTCCGGCACCACTAATACACAAACAACAACACCAACCAAAATGCAAAGCAAAGAAACGATCACAGCACCGAAGCAAACAAACACCCACAACAACGAATCATCCGTCACACACAATAAACAGCCAGCCAACAAATACAATCCACTCCAACATAAAAAACAAAACAATAACATCAAATATAAAAGAAACCACAAAAAATAGTCAAACAGCAACAATTTCAAAAAATAATACCAAATCAACAACTTCCTCCCCGAAATCGCCAAGAAAAATCAATTCGCCACAAGCATCGACCAGCATCAACTCATCACCAGAAAGAGACTTTCGCACCCCACCTAGCGCCTCTCCAGCAGTTAGTGATATCGAAATGACTCCATGTAGTCAAATATTCTCCAAATATCCCGACCTCAATGTCCTAATCACACCCAAACTTGCAAACACACTCTGCCGAGCCAAAAACAAAATCAGTAACCCAACAACCACCCCCAAAACAAACCATTAAAGTTTATGTTTTAATATAATGGTATCAATATTACAGTGGAATATGAATGGGTACACAAACAACTACCATCAACTCGAACTTCTCCTTAACCGTTATTCCCCCTCGATCCTACTCTTAAATGAAACCCATGTCCCTCACACCCACCACACCTACACTCCTAAAAACTACGCTGGATACTTCAACAACCTTCCCCATAACACCACTAAGAAACAAGGCAATGCTATCCTAGTGAGAAGAAATATTCCCCATAGATTCTTACCCATTCGTTCAAACATCTCCATAGTCGCAATAGAGATAACCACAACACTTAAGCTCGCTATCACATGCATTTACATTCCCCCGACACAAACCATCTCGGCCACCGAACTAAACCGCATACTACGGCAAATCGACACCAATTGCATCATAGGAGGCGATTTAAACGCCTGGAGCACAATTTGGGGCGCCGCCCAATCCAATCAAAGAGGCCTTGAGGTTGAGGACATGTTACTGTCATCCAACCTAATCTGCCTAAACAACGGCACAGCCACCCATCTATCAACACACAACACGTTCACCTGCATTGATCTCACCTTCTGTTCTGCGGCCTTGGCCCCGAAATGCTCATGGCAAGTATTAGATTTCCTGTACGGGAGTGATCGTTTCCCGATCCTCACACAAGTTAACACCCAGGGCAATCAAAATCAATATAAACATTGCAGCAAATTCAAAACAGATGCCGCAGATTGGAAGAAATTTTCTGCTCGTTGCACCCAACTTTGCCGGAACTCGCCTGCAGCAAACAATCCCAACCAAGAAGCAGCAAAAATCCTAAAAATCATCCGCACTGCAGCCCACTATGAAGTTCCTCAAACCAAACCGATTAGGTACCAAAAAAGAATAACCTGGTGGAATGCCAATCTCTCTTATCTTAGATCACATAAGCAACAAGCATGGCATAACTTCAAACGCACTCGATCCGATCAAAATCTACTCACCTATAAAATAGCGAATGCCATATTTAAAAGAGCCGCCAAATTAGCTAAAAAAGAAGAATTTGAAAAATTCACATCGAACATCAATCCTACATTAAACCCAAAAACTATATGGAACGACATTAAGAAGCTCACCGGCGTCCAAAAGCAAACTAATTTTTCCTGTATTGCTTCTCTCAATGGACCAATAAACGCACCACTCGACATTGCCAACTTCTTCGGCTCCTCCCTCTCTCTTGCCTCCTGTGATGTCAACTTCCATAACACCTTCCGCGAGCTGAAAGCCAAACGTCTACAAAAACGAACCGCCGGCAGCGCCGCTGCTTTCACGATACGCCAAGCAAATTGAATCCGAAATCTGCTTAGCTGAATTCGAATCCGCTCTCTATTCAGTCAAAGGAAAAACGCCGGGACTCGATAAGATTTCATACCCCATCATACAAAAACTGCCCAGCGAACTGAAGCGCCGGTAACTCCAGCTATACAACCAGATTCTCGATCGTGGTTGCTACCCGCAACAATGGAAAACCACTTGCATAGTACCGATTCTCAAACCAAACAAACCCGCTGAAGACGTTAACAATTACAGACCCATCTCGCTTCTCCCTTGCTTAGGGAAAGTTTTTGAAAAAATCATAGCCGCTCGGTTAATGTGGTACGCTGGCATTACCAAATTAATTAGCCCCAATCAATTCGCCTACAGAAAAGGGCAAAGTACAACTGACGCGCTGCTCCATGTCGACCACCTCATATCAAATGCTCTCTCTTCTAAAAGCCACTTCTCTCTAATGTCGGCCGACTTTGAAAAAGGTTTTGACGGCACCGGCATCCACATTATTCTTAGGCAACTAGATAAATGGAGAATCGGCCCAAAAGTCAAGAATTTCATAAAAAACTTCCTCACCAACAGGAAATTAGAAGTAAAAATTAACGGTTACCTTTCCCATACATATCCGCTAAACAATGGCACCCCTCAGGGCTCACCTCCGCCTGCCTGTTTATTCATCATAGCGTTCGATGAAATCGTCCAACTAACAAAAACCATGCGTGGCATAGAATGTATACTCTACGCCGACGACGTCATTTTTTTCACAAAAAACGCCGATACCAACCACGTGGAATCGCTCTTCGAAAACATATTATCGAAAATCACTTCTTGGTCTGGACCCTGCACATTTGCAGGAAACAGAATTGTCCCGGCGTTTCCATAGGGTACTCCTACGGTAACATAAGTTCAGTAGCAGAACTCAAAATTCTTGGACTCACCTTCGACTCCAAGTACAGCTTCAAACCACATTGTGCTAAATTAAGAGATCGATTGTTAAACAGCTTTAATATAATCAAATACCTCTCATCTAAGAAAAGCCTCGTACACCCTACCACACTGATCAACATCACCAAAGCTTTAATCTTATCCAAAATAGATTATGCTTTACCGATCTACAGCAACTGTTCGAAAAATACAATAAATAAACTGTCGGCGCCTTATCACTCCGCAATACGCAGGAGCATCAGAGCTTTCCCCACCACGCCTCTAAAAAATTTGTTCGCCGAAACAGGCTTCCCAACTATTCCAGATAGAGTATCCGATAGCACACGCCGTCTTCTCCTCAAACTGCTCCACACGAATAACTCCATTCTCTCCGAATACATACAAAAAGCGCTTGCAAGAAAGCGCCAACCCAGGCGCTTATCAACCATATCAAGATCCCTCGAATTCCTAGAGGATCTTCAGATACCTGTTAACAGAAAGCCACCAACAACTGAATCTTATCCACAATGGTTGATAAACAACATTAAACCTATAATTAAAACCCTGCAGCTTCCCAAAGCAAGCGCCCCGCGGAAAAGTATAGAACACTTTTTGCTGTGGAAAAAGAAAAACGTCAGAGCCTGGGATGAAAATTTTTATACCCGGATGGATCCAAGACAGCAGTAAATACCTCTTTTGCAGTGGTAACACAAGACGGAAGCACTATAAAACATAGCATACTCCACTCCATATGTTCGATATAGACGGCGGAAGCAGCGGGGATAGTCGACGCAATCACCTATGCCAAGATGAACAGAGGTAAATTCATCATTTGCACAGACTGCCACTCCTGCATAAACGCCATTGAATCTCCAACTAATTATCAACATGAAATGGTGATTATCCGCAACGCTCTAATACACTATCCGAACAAAATTAAACTAATGTGGATCCCTGGGCACGTGGGAATCTCTGGGAACGAACACGCGGATGCTGCAGCCAAAAACGTCGCCAGCGTGCCCTCATTTATGTACCACTCTGTGTCAAAGTAAAACATGCAGTGACGAGCAAAACTGTAACATGGTGTGACACTTTTTATTTCAGTCACCGCTATCTTTCCAAGTTCTAACGACTTTCATACTTTTGTTGTATATTCTTATTGGTACACCCCTACTCCCTCTCACAAAGATTTGAAGTCAATCCAACAACAATAATAAAACCAGCAGGCAAAAATGTAAATTAAGGCAAATGTTACAGTTTTGCTCTCACCCTCAGTTTTGCATTTTACTGTTATCTTTTCATTAGTTGGAAGTCAGATGACTTTTTTCTGTATTGTAATTTATTCAAGAAGTGACTACCAGTAAATAATATGGTTAATCAGGAAACATACATGTAAATAATATATTTACTGCGGAAACGCGGGACCGTAGGAAAAGTGGCAAAAAATTGTGGAGTTCGCCGTAAAAAAATGTTAAAACAGAAAAAATATAGCCTAAAATGTTATTAAGGACAAAGGAAGTCTGCCAAAAAATATTACGGTCCGATATCTTGTGAACTTAGTAGCAAGTAGCGCTAAAGCCACTATTACAGAAGCGCTTAAAATATTAAAATTGAATGCAAATCAGTAGACAGTGAGGCGAAGAATTGTCAAATTAACCACAAAGGCATAATAAAAGAAGAAAAACCCATTTTGATCAAAATATATGTGCGAGAGTGGTAGCATTTTGCCGGATCGCACGAAAACCGGACCGTTGCCTATTGGGATATGTTAGGCCTTGCAGAATGCAATAAAAAAAAACAAATTTTTAAGATTTAATTGAAGGTTAGTTGGTCTGACAAGAATAAATTAATCGCTTTCAATCAGATGGCCGGGCATGGTATTGGATCAAAGACCCAAATTAAATCTAAGTGCATCATGTAGCGTAAACTATGAATCACAGTGGTCGGTCAGTAATAGTTTGGGGTTGTATTTCAAAAATATTGTTGGTCCGTTAGTACGCATTATGCGTAAGGAACAGTATCTGTTCATATTTCAACAAAATTTACAAGATGTAGTCGAAAAATGAGAGTTTCTGCTGAAAAATCACCCAAAACATACTGCATATGTTCGCAAAGACTGGATGCAAAAGCAAAAATTTGCTATTTTGAAATGACCTCCACAATCCGCGGATATGAATCTCGTCGAAAATTTGCGAAATCAACTAAAAGCGCAGCTTACTAAGTATCCAAGTCCGTCCAATGGAGTACATGAGCTATGAAAGCAAACCAAGGATATATGGGAGGCTATACCTCCAGATTTTTACAGAGATACAAATAAGGTATGCCAAATTGCATCCAGGAACTAAAAAAAGCAAAATTATGCTGAGCATTGTGTTAACAATTCTTTTTTTTCGTGAAAATTGTCAAAAAGTTATTAAAAATATATAAGTGCAAAACTGTAACATATGCCTTAATTTACATTTTTGTCTGCTGGTTTTATTATTGTAGTTGGATTGACTTCAATTGGTTATGAGAGATGAAGTACAGGTGCACCAATAAGAATATACAACAAAAGTATGAATGCCGTTAGAACTTGGAAAGATAGCGGTGGCTGAAATAAAAAGTGTCACACCATGTTACAGTTTTGTTCGTCACTGTATGTGCCGTAATAGCGAGGCAACGCCTAACATCGTTGACTGACGGCTGGAGAATGTACTCCCATCACTATTCAACAATCAACCCTACCAGAAAGGAGCCAGTCTACGACCCAAACATACCCCTGCGCGCATTGAGACCATATACACGCCTCAGGCTTGGTCATACAATCGCAACACATGCTCACCTATTACAACGTGCTTCACCCACACCCTGTCCATTCTGTGAGGAACCCCTATCGCTAAACCACATTTTACTCTGTCAAACAACAGACACTCGCCGACAAGAAATATTAGAATCCGCCAACCCTATCGAGTTGCTAAAAAATCCCACCTACAACAATGTTCAAGCAATGTATAACTTCCTTAAAGAAGTTGATTTACTTAGACGAATTTAATCTCATAGTAACATAAAAGCCAACGCCCACTCACGGGACAATAAGGACAGCTGAAGGCCACCGATGCTAGTGCTGCGAATTGCAATATATTTGTAGAATATTAGTTATTGTGCAAATAAGTTTATAAAATAAAATTAAAAAAATAAAAATTTTCTCTACATTCGCGGCTTCTTGGTTACTATTTATTTCTTCGGTTTTATTTGCAAAAAGTTCCCAGTTTGCTTTATCATCCACAAAACCTGGTTTAAAATTTTTTAAGCCAGTAGTGATACCATTAAAAATTAAAATTGGGAAGTGGTCACTTCCTTCTCGGGAACCTTTCCAAGAGAGTACCGATGCTAATTCTGAATCAGTCATAGCGACATCCACGGCCGTGAGCGTGTTTTTGGTGTTTAATAGTGTAGGTGAGCTATCGTTAAGACAAACCAAATTTCTCATGCCCGCAAATTTCTCCCACAGTTTCCCGTTTCTGTTCGTCATAAGTGACCCCCACAATGTATTGTGTGCTGTATTCCGGTATGTTGTCAAGAAGCTGCGTTGTCATGTATACATCTATTTCTTTATATAATGTTAGTTAAGTGCAGATCAGTCAGTCCCCGCACGGTTAAGGAATGTCGCAGTAGATTGTTGGAAACTTTGTGGTTAGATACACTTAAAGTGTATTTAATCAAAAAAGCTACTCATGATTTAGCATATTGGTAATCTTTGTTATGATGAACAACTTTGTAATGTGGGAGATTTAGAAGGTGTAAGTTTTTTGAATAATGTGTGAAAACGCACCTTGGATGACCAGCCCGCTATGAAGTGAAACCACCGAGTTTCTAATAGAGAATCACCCCGCTATAGAGTAACTAATATACTGTACATAACACTTCCATGGTGCTATGCACGTAAAACTTAAACCTAATTAAACACCAACACGCATCCAGACACTGTCCAAGGTCGCATCACATATTAAGATTTAAAATACAACGCATATTTCGTACTTTTGGCTGTGCACATAAACGTAAGCCACAAATCATGCACTCAAGCATCTCTTACCCAAGTGATAAGTGTCCTTGAGTCGCATGGTTTGCTTTTCCTTACCTAAACATTTAATCACAGTATATACAGTAATAAACCTTTTTGAGTACTCCTCGGGGGTAAAATCTGATCAGGGTTGATAATGAGAAGGAGCATGAATTTTATTGACTCAGAGTTGTATACAAAATTACTGTGGAATAAAAGGGAGCAACAACCGTACTATGACAGAGTGGCACAAGTCATGACTGTGTAATATTGACCGAAACTAATTGCAAACGTGTAAAAACATTGCAAATTATTTTCTATTATTATAGATACTAGTACAGATTATCATAGTTCGGTGTATAACTTGTTATATTACATCGTACATGATAATGAACTGTTAAATGATGAAAACGCTAGTAACTTGTAGATCACTAAACTTGGGTGTGCTTAATGGACTGTCTGGGCGAATGCGCTAGCAGGCATTGGAGTCTGTACAGCTATACAAACCTTGTTTTTTTTTTTGTTTTTTAATAAAGATTTAAATATATTCGGAAACTAGCAATTACCCGGCGTGCTTCGCTGCGCCTTAAAAGTATTTTTCTGTTGTAACTCTCCCCCTAAGCTCTTATGGCCTCATTTACAAAATATTTTTAAAGAACTTTATGAAGTTAGATTTAAAAAAAAATCGATCTATGAAGCATTGTTTATTTATTTTTTTTGAGTTAATATATTTTCGAAGGTAATTAGAAAATATGTAAAGAACCGACTTTCTCTTGGAAATTTAATTTATAATCTTATAACTGGAGTCTACTATCGCACCCTTTCCTCAAACGTGTATTGATTCAATATTCAAATAACGTATATTTATATAATTTGAAAAAATCTCCCTACTATACAAATATGTACAGCAATATTAACTAA